ATCCTGTTTATCGTTGGTATATCCTGTTTATCGTCTGTCTGTATATCCTGTTTATCGTCTGTCTGTATATCCTGTTTATCGTTGGTATATCCTGTTTATCGTCTGTCTGTATATCCTGTTTATCGTCTGTCTGTATATCCTGTTTATCGTCTGTCTGTATATCCTGTTTATCGTCTGTCTGTATATCCTGTTTATCGTCTGTCTGTATATCCTGTTTATCGTCTGTCTGTATATCCTGTTTATCGCCTGTCTGTATATCCTGTTTATCGTCTGTCTGTATATCCTGTTTATCGTCTGTATATCCTGTTTATTGTGGCAGCACCATTTCACTGAATCAAATTCCTGTACATGCAAATGTGTTTGGCGAATAAAGGTGATTCTGATTATGGGTGAGGGGTGAGAGGTCAGAGGTTATTGGTGAGAGGGGTGATGTGTGAGAGGGTGAGGGGGTGAGAGGTCAGATATTAGGGGTGAGGGGTGAGAGGTGAGAGGTTAAGGATTACCAGCATAATGGTAGTCTCTTGCTGATGATGGAGTAGAGAAGAGCAACTTCTCCAGTGTGGCCTGGGACAGGGGGATGAGAGGTAGAGAGATATTAATGAACTACTGAAAAAGTGAGTGATTTTGGTAAATAGATATGAATGAGGGAATGTACGAACGAGCAAATGAAACAAATGAACGTTTCCTCTCTCCCAATTGCCAGTGTATGGTAGAGACAGTGTAGGGACTGTCTGTGTGTGTATGTGTGTGTGTCTGTCTGTCTGTATGTGCGCGCGTGTGTGTGCATGTGTGTGTGTGTCCTCACCAGTGTATCTCCGTGACAGCGGTAGAGACAGTGTAGGGCCAGCTCTGTGTTGCTGCCGCCTCCTGGTAGACAGCTAGAACTACACACAGACAACACTGCCTCCACTGGTAGACAGACAGACAGACAGACAGACAGACAGACAGACAGACAGACAGACAGACAGACAGACAGACAGACAGACAGACAGACAGACAGACAGACAGACAGACAGACAGAGACCCAGATAGACAGACAGGCAGACAGCCAACAGACAGACAGAGAGACAGACAGATAGAGAGACAGAAAGACAGACAGACAGAGAGATAGACAAAGAGACACAGAGACACAGAGACAGAGACACCGAGACAGACAGACAGACAGACAGACAGAGACAGAGCGACAGACAGAGCGACAGATAGAGAGACAGACAGAGAGACAGAGAGACAGACAGACAGACAGACAGACAGACAGACAGACAGACAGACAGACAGACAGACAGACAGACAGACAGACAGACAGACAGACAGACAGAGAGAGAGAGAGAGAGAGACAGACAGACAGAGAGAGAGACAGATGGATAGATAGACAGGCAGACAAAGACCCAGATAGACAGACAGACAGACAGACAGAGAGACAAAGACACAGAGAGAGAGACAGACAGACAGAGACATACAGACATACAGACAGACAGAGAGACAGAGAGACAGGCAGACAGAGAGACAAACAGAGACAGACGGAGAGAGAGAGACAGACAGACAGACAGACAGACAGACAGACAGACATTCAGACAGAGAGTCAGAAAGACAGATAGCGACAGCCAATCAGAGAGAGAGACAGCCAGACAGAGAGACAGATAGACAGACAGACAGAGAGACAGATAGAGAGACAGACAGACAGAGAGAGAGACAGATGGATAGATAGACAGGCAGACAAAGACCCAGATAGACAGACAGGCAGACAGACAGACAGACAGACAGACAGAGAGACAAAGACCCAGAGAGAGAGACAGACAGACAGAGACATACAGACATACAGACAGACAGAGAGACAGAGAGACAAACAGAGACAGACGGAGAGAGAGAGACAGACAGACAGACAGACAGACAGACAGACAGACAGACAGACAGACAGACAGACAGACAGACAGACATACAGACAGAGAGTCAGAAAGACAGATAGCGACAGCCAAACAGAGAGAGAGACAGACAGATAGAGAGACAGACAGAGAGACATATAGAGAGACAGACAGACAGGCAGACAGAGACCCATATAGACAGACAGGCAGACAGGCAACAGACAGAGAGACAGACAGATAGAGAGACAGAAAGACAGACAGGCAGAGACACAGGCAGAGACACAGAGAGAGACAGACGGAGAGAGAGAGAGAGAGAGAGAGAGAGAGAGAGAGAGAGAGAGAGAGAGAGAGAGAGAGACAGACAGACAGACAGACAGACAGACAGATAGAGAGACAGACAGAGACAGAGAGAGAGACAGACAGACCGACAGAGAGACAGACAGACAGAGAGACAGACGGACAGAGAGACAGACAAACAGAGAGGCAGACAGACAGACAGACAGACAGAGACACACACACAGAGACAGACAGACAGACGGATAGAGAGACAGAGAGACAGACAGGCAGAGACACAGGCAGAGACACAGAGAGAGACAGACGGAGAGAGAGAGAGAGAGAGAGACAGACAGACAGACAGACAGACAGACAGACAGACATACAGACAGACAGACAGACAGACAGACAGACAGACAGACAGACAGATAGAGAGACAGACAGAGACAGAGAGAGAGACAGACAGACCGACAGAGAGACAGACAGACAGAGAGACAGACAGACAGAGAGACAGACAAACAGAGAGGCAGACAGACAGACAGACAGACAGACAGACAGACAGACAGACAGACAGACAGACAGACAGACAGACAGACGGATAGAGAGACAGACAGAGACAGAGACAGACAGGCAGAGAGCCAGACAGACAGACAGAGAGACAGAGAGAGAGAGAGAGAGAGAGACAGACAGACAGACAGACAGACAGACAGACAGACAGACAGACAGACAGACAGAGACACACACACAGAGACAGACAGACAGAGAGACAGAGAGACAGACAGAGAGACAGAGACAGACAGACAGACAGACAGACAGACAGACAGACAGACAGACAGACAGACAGACAGACAGACAGACAGACAGACAGACAGACAGACAGACAGATAGACAGATAGAGAGAGAGACAGACAGAGAGAGAGAGAGACAGAGAGACAGACCGACAGAAAGACAGAGATACAGACAGACAGCCAGACAGAGAGAGAGACAGAGAGAGAGAGAGGAGAGCAAAACACAGGGTACAGGTGACAGTCAGTAAATTTACAGGTCAGTATGTATATACGGTTTGAGGGAGGAGTTGAGGTATATTCTTTCTTTCCTCCCAAACCTCAGTTACAGTGGCTTGCGAAAGTATTCACCCCCCTTGGCATCTTTCCTATTTTGTTGCCTTACAACCTGGAATTAAAATTTAGTTTTTTGGGGGTTTGTATAATTTCATTTACACAACATGCCTACCACTTTGAAGATGCAAAATATTTTTTATTGTGAAACAAACAAGAAATAAGACAAAAAAAACACAAAACTTGAGCGTACATAACTATTCATCCCCCCAAAGTCAATACTTTATAGAGCCACCTTTTGCAGCAATTACAGCTGCAAGGCTCTTGGGGTATGTCTCTATAGCTTGGCACATCCAGCAAAACTGCTCCAGCTCCTTCAAGTTGGATGGGTTCCGCTGGTGTACAGCAATCTTTAAGTCATACCACAGATTCTCAATTGGATTGAGGTCTGGGCTTTGACTAGGCCATTCCAAGACATTTAAATGTTTCCCCTTAAACCACACGAATGTTGCTTTAGCAGTATGCTTAGGGTCATTGTCCTGCTGGAAGGTGAACCTCCGTCCCAGTCTCAAATCTCTGGAAGACTGAAACAGGTTTCCCTCAAGAATTTCCCTGTATTTAGCACCATCCATCATTCCTTCAATTCTGTTTCCCAGTCCCTGCCAATGAAAAACATCCCACAGCATGATGCTGCCACCACCATGCTTCACTGTGGGGATTGTGCTCTCGGGGTGATGAGAGGTGTTGGGTTTGTGCCAAACATAGCGTTTCATTGATGGCCAAAAAGCTCAATTTTAGTCTCATCTGACCAGAGTACCTTCTTCCATATGTTTGGGGAGTCTCCCACATGCCTTTTGGCGAACACCAAACGTGTTTGCTTATTTTTTTCTTTAAGCAATGGCTTTTTTCTGGCCACTCTTCTGTAAAGCCCAGCTCTGTGGAGTTTACGGTTTAAAGTTGTCCTATGGACAGATACCCCAATCTTCGCTGTGGAGCTTTGCAGCTCCTTCAGGGTTATCTTTGGTCTCTTTGTTGCCTCTCTGATTAATGCCTTCCTTGCCTGGTCCATGAGTTTTGGTGGGCGGCCCTCTCTTTGTTGTGGTGGCATATTCTTTCCATTTTTTAATAATGGATTTCATGGTGCTCCGTGGGATGTTCAAAGTTTCTGATATTTTTTTATAACCCAACCCTGATCTGTACTTCTCCACAACTTTGTCTCTGACCTGTTTGGAGAGCTCCTTGGTCTTCATGGTGCCGCTTGCTTGGTGGTGCCCCTTGCTTAGTGGTGTTGCAGACTCTGGGGCCTTTCAGAACAGGTGTATATATACTGAGATCATGTGACAGATCATGTGACACTTAGATTGCACACAGGTGCACTTTATTTAACTAATTATGTGACTTCTGAAGGTAATTGGTTGCGCCAGATCTTATTTAGGGGTTTCATAGCAAAGGGGGTGAATACATATGCACGCACCACTTTTCCATTATTTTGTATTTTGTATTTTTTGAAACAAGTTATTTTTAAAATTTCACTTCACCAATTGGGACTATTTTGTGTATGTAAATAAAAATCTATTTAAATTACAGGTTGTAATGCAACAAAATAGGAAAAACGCCAAGGGGGATGAATACTTTTGCAAGGCTAACAATGGTTCTGTTAACAGGTTCATAAGCTTCACGAACCCTTAATAGGAGGTTCATAGATTCTTTACAGATAAACCTTCATAGATAAAACTGCATAGATAAACCATCATAGATAAACCTTCATAGATATCTCATTCATAAGCCAATTTTACCCTAAATTCATACCTTGGTCCTGGATGACAGAACTCTTCCCAAGCTCCTCCCATGGTTTCCAGAGCAACTCCTCATTGGATGATGATTCCTCTGGCCATGTCCTTGACCCCTCCTCCCTCTCTAGACAACATGGTAGCTCAGCCTGGAACCCTGGACCCACGTTGATACACCTGGAAAATGAATCAATGAATTAACAAATGAACGACTAAATGAATCAATGAATGAACGAATGAAAGAAGAAATGAACGAGCAAACAAACTAACGAGCGACAGAAGAAGAAAGAATCAAACTAATGCTCTGTCCATCCAAACTCACGGAAGTATAGAATATCCCTCCTCCTCTTCAGTCATCCTTCCCATCGCTCGTTCCCCGGCCGAAGGGGGCATGAGGGAGGATAGGATCCCCGTTCCCCTGCGTCTGGGATTCAGCATAGGCAGAGGGGTGTAGGGGAGCCCTCTCCCAAACCGCTCCACTCCCTTCTGCCGCCCTCCTCCTCTACTAGACTGCAGCAGACTGGGGAAGGGAGTACCTCTATACACCACCAGGGGTGCTTTTCCATTCTGTGGGAGTCCACCGGGGGGCTGGGATGGAAGAGAGGAGGGGTGGAGGGATGGATGAAGGGGTGAGGCAAAGGATGATTCTACCGGAGTTTGAAGACTATAGTGACCTGTGAGCAGAAGAGAGAGGGGAAGGTAAGGAGGAGACTGGACACATGTTACAACATATGGTGGTCCTCTGTAGCTCAGCTGGTAGAGCACGGCGCTTGTAACGCCAAGGTAGTGGGTTCGATCCCCGGGACCACCCATACACAAAAATGTATGCACGCATGACTGTAAGTCGCTTTGGATAAAAGCGTCTGCTAAATGGCTTATTATTATAACTGATGTGGAACACTCTTCCACACAGCACCATACCTGCATTATACCCATTGTCCTGGTGAACCTGTCTCCCAGTAAACACCGCCTCCTGGCAGTATACGTAGCCGGAGCTTGACGGGTTGCCCTCGACGACACCCACGTCACCTGACTGCTGCAGCCAATGAGAGAGCGGGAGCTTCCACATGACGGCCGAGGGGTTGGAGGAGTGGAGTGGCTGGAGAGAGGAGGGGTAAAACTGGACTGTTCCACTACAACCCACCCCTGTGGTCTGGGTGAGTCCAACTGTCCTGAGAGAGGGGGGTAGGGTGAGTTTGGGAGGGGAGAGTGAATGAGGGGGGAGGGGTGTGGGAGGTGGAGGAGGAGGAGGAGGGGAAGGAAGAGTGGAAGAGTCTGTGTGCGAATCGTAAGCACTCGTTTTGAGCCGTCCCGTGCTTCCTCCTCCCACTCCGAATCCGAAAATCCCACTTCCGGAATTCCCATTCAGAATTCTGCTGCCAGCGATGTTGCGTCTGAAGGAGAATGCCTCGGAGAAGGAGTCCAGTTTCTGCTGGTACACCCCACCACCACCACCACCACTAGCACCACTAGCACCACCTGCTGCCTGGGAATGGGAGTATAGAAAGGCCCAGTCCTGGGGGTACCCCCCACCCCTCTCCCTTCCCTCCCCAGCCACAGCACCCCGCTCTGGGTGAGAGGGACCCACCCAACATCCAGGCTTCAACTGGGCCTCTAGAGGATCCAGGTTCGACCTTCTAACCCCAAAATCATCACAGCCTCCTCCAAAATCATCAACCCTTCTCAAACTATCCCGCTTTCCTGTATCATCAACCCTATTGCCAAAGCTATCAGTACCATTATAGAGATGACCAGTTATAGTATTACTTCCACCATCATGGCTACCGGTAGTGGTGTCTCTATAATCACTATTACCATCTCCCCTCTCCTCACACACATAATCTCTACTGTAGAACACATCATCCCTGTTACTACAGTCCTCGTCCGTTCTGTAGAACACATCATCCCTGTTACAGCCCTCATCCGTTCTGTAGAACACATCATCCCTGTTACAGCCCTCATCCGTTCTTTGAAAGATGTCATTCCTGATATCATCCGTTCTGTGAAAGACCTCATCCCTGGTGTTCGACCCCTCATCCGTTTTCTCCTCACACCCATGATCTCTACTGTTGCTGTAGAAGACATCATCCCTACTGCTCTTACAGCCCTCATCCGTTCTGTGAAAGACATCATCCCTGTTACAGCCCTCATTCGTTCTGTGAAAGACATCATCCCTGTTACAGCCCTCATCCGTTCTGTGAAAGAAGTCATCCCTGTTACAGCCTTCATCCGTTCTGTGAATGACATCATCCCTGTTACAGCCCTCATCCGTTCTGTGGTAAATATCACCCCCACTACCGCTGACGCTGCTGTCATCCCCATCGCAGCCCTCATCCTTCTGGCTAGCATAGCCAAGGCTCTGACCTTCAAAATGGCTGCCCCTATTACAGAAGCTAGCTTTCTGCGCTCCAAAACAACCATCCCTACCATCAAAATCAATACAGTTATCACCTCTGCTATGTCCATGAATGTCTACATAACCTCCTCTTCCATCACCCCCACCCTTGTAACTGTCCCTACTCTCCCCAGAATAGGGGCTTGACTCAGGGAGAGTGGTCCTGGGTGCTGCCTCTATTCCAGTCCCTCTATATTGCTCCAGGGGAGTCTGGGGCTCCAGGGGTTGGTGGCAGGATGTGTGGCCCAGGCCGGGGCTCCCGATGCTGGGGTGGAGGTGGTGGGAGAGGTGGGTGTGATGCTGGAGGTATGGGTCCTGGTAAGACTGTGGGGTTGGAGGTTGGAGGGATGTTCGGTCAGCCATGGTGTAGTCTCTCTGGGTGTGTTCTGTGCTGGGATAGAGGGACCATTAGTGACAAAGATGAAGAGGTGCCGGAGCAGACATGGTGGTTCTTTAGGACTCTAGAAAAAAGGGGGGGGAAGGAGTCTAGGAAAAAGGGAAGGAGGGAAGGAGGGAAGGAGGGAAGGAGGGAAGGAGATGGAACAAGGGGAAAAGACAGGGGTTATAAAGAGGGAGAAGAGGTAAATAGCCGTGGTGGAAAAAGTACACAATTGTCATACCTGAGTAAAAGTAAAAGATACCTTAATAGAAAATGACTCAAGTAAAAGTGAAAGTCATCCAGTAAAATACTACTTGAGTAAAAGTCTAAAAGTATTTGGTTTTGTCACGCTCTGGCTCCGGGACTCTGTATAGTGAGCCAGGGTGTGTTCATTATTTGGGTGTATTTCTATGTTTGTATTTCTGTTGGGTGCATTTCTATGTTTGGTCAGTGACTCCCAATCGGAGGTAACGAGTGTCAGCTGTCGGCTCGTTATCTCTGATTGGGAGCCATATTTAATCTGTATGTTTTCCTGTGGGTGTTGTGGGTTTTTGTTCATTTCGGTTTGTGTTAAAACGTAGACGTCACGTTATTCGTTTGTTGTTCTGATCGGTTGATCATCATCATTATTATTATTAAACATGTTCACCTTCAACGCTGCGCCTTGGTCCTCTATGTATGACGATCGTGACAGAAAAACCCACCAAGATGGGACCAAGCAGCGTGTCCAGGAGCCATCGCCAGGGAGATCCCTCACAGATCTCCTTCGCCTCCTGGACTGGGTCAAGCCGAGGGAGGAAGACAAGGGCTTGACGCTATGGCAGAAGGGCGAGAGGCTGGCGAGGTCTATGGAGACCTGGTCCACGGGTAGGAGAGACGCCCCGAAAATTTTTAGGGGGGGGCTCGAGACGTCGGACCAGCAGGAGGCCGCGATAGAGCGGCCCAGTGGGTTGCTGGAGAAGGCCGCCGGGTTACGGGGGCCACTGGTCAAAGAGGGGATGGAGGAAGTGGAGGCACGGCGAGAGGTACTGGCGTGTGTTGCCAGTCCGGTCCGGCCCGTTCCAGATCCCGGTGTGGGGCCAGTGGTGTGTGTCCCCAGTACAGTCCGGCCCATCCAAGCTTCCCGCACCAAGCCAGTGGTGTGTGTCGTCAGTCCAGTCCGGCCCGTTCCTGCTCCCCGCATCAAGTCTGTGGTGCGTCTCGTCAGCCCGGCTCTGCCCGTTCCTGCTCTCCGCACCAGGTCTGTGGTGCGCGTCGCCAGCCCAGTCCGGCCCATTCCTGCTCCCCGCATCAAGTCTGTGGTGCGTCTCGTCAGCCCGGCTCTGCCCGTTCCTGCTCTCCGCACCAGGTCTGTGGTGCGCGTCGCCAGCCCGGCTCGTCCCGTTCCTGCTCCCCGCACCAAGTCAGGGGTGCGCTTCGACAGCCCGGCTCGGTCCGCTCCTGCTCCCCACACCAAGCCAGTGGGGTGCGGCGTCAGTCCGGCACGGCCCGTGCCTGTTCTCCGCACCAAGTCTGTGGTGCGTTTCGTCAGCCCTGTCCGGCCCGTTCCTGCTCTCCGCACCAAGTCTGTGGTGCGCGTCGCCAGCCCAGTTCGGCCCATCCAAGCTCCCCGCACCAGGTCAGTGGTGCGCGTCGTCAGCCCGGTCCGGCCCGTTCCTCCTCCACGCATCAGGCCAGGGGCGCGTGTCGTCGGTCCGGCTCCGGCCAGCGGGGCTGGACAGGACCAGGGGTACTTTGGGGGGTTGGAGAGGAGGTGGGGATCAAGGACGGAGCCAGAGCCACCGCCGAGGAGGTGTGCCCACCCAGCCCTCCCTTGTTTAGCCCGGATTGAGGCGCGGTCGCAGTCCGCGCCTTTAGGGGGGGGTACTGTCACGCTCTGGCTCCGGGACTCTGTATAGTGAGCCAGGGTGTGTTCATTATTTGGGTGTATTTCTATGTTTGTATTTCTGTTGGGTGCATTTCTATGTTTGGTCAGTGACTCCCAATCGGAGGTAACGAGTGTCAGCTGTCGGCTCGTTATCTCTGATTGGGAGCCATATTTAATCTGTATGTTTTCCTGTGGGTGTTGTGGGTTTTTGTTCATTTCGGTTTGTGTTAAACCGTAGACGTCACGTTATTCGTTTGTTGTTCTGATCGGTTGATCATCATCATTATTATTATTAAACATGTTCACCTTCAACGCTGCGCCTTGGTCCTCTATGTATGACGATCGTGACAGGTTTTAAATATACTTAAGTATCAAAAGTAAATGTAATTGCTAAAATATACTTAAATATCCAAAGTAAAAGTAAAATTATTAATAATTTTAAATTCCTTAAAATTTTACGGATAGCCAGGGGCACACTCCAACACTCAGACATAATTTACAAGTCTGCCAGATCAGAGGCCTTAGGGATGACCAGGGATGTTGTCTTGATAAGTATTTGAATTGGACCATTTTCTGTCCTGCTAAGCATTCAAAAATGTAACGAGTACTTTATGGTGTCAGGGAAATTGTATGGAGTAAAAAGTACATTAGTGTTTTTAGGAATGTAGTGAAGTAAAAGTAAAAGTTGTCAAAACTATAAATAGTAAAGTAAAGTACAGATACCCCCTCAAAAAACGACTTAAGTAGTACTTTAAAGTATTTCTACTTAAGTACTTTACACCCCTGGTAAAGAGATAGGGGTAGTGAAAGAGAAGAGAGAGAAGAGAACATGCAGTACATTAAGAGTATATTTCTAATCTAAACATGCAATCGACAGTTGTGTAAAGTACTTAAATAAAAATACTTTAAAGTACTACTTAATAGTTTTTTTGGGGTATCTGTACTTTACTATTTATATTTTTTGACAACTTCTACTTTTACTCCACTACGTTCCTAAAGGAAATAATGTACCTTTTACTCAATACATTTTCCTTGACACCCATAAGTACTTGTTACATTTGTTATGCTTAGCAGGACAGGAAAATTGTCCAATTCACGCACCTTATCAAGAGAACGTCCCTGGTCATCCCTACTGCCTCTGATCTGGCGGACTCACTAAACACACATGCTTCGTTTCTTAAGTGTTGGAGTGTGCCCCTGGCTATCTGTAAATGAAAAAAGCATGAAGATTGTGCCGTCTGGTTTGCTTAATATAAGGAATTTGAAATGATTTATACTTTCACTTTTGTTACATAAATATATTTTAGCAATTACATTTACTTTTGATACTTAAGTATATTTACTGGATGACTTTCACTTCTACTTGAGTCATTTTCTATCAAGGTATCTTTACTTTTACTCAAGTGTGACAGTTGAGTACTTTTTCCACCACTGGCAATCGATCTGTTGGCCTAATATGTAAACTTACCTAGAGAAGCAGGAACAAATACAAAAACCACAATCTTCGCTAGTGAGAAAACACAGTCCCAACTTTGACTCAGTCAATAACACTTAGTGCCATGGTGCCATAGTACAAATATCACACACTGAAAATGGCCTATAGAAACAGGGTCATTATATCAGTTCAAATCAACAACCCATCAATGCACAGCTTCTTGCTTCCTCTCTCTGTCTCTCTCGCTCTCTCTCTCTCGCTCGCTCTCTCTCTCTACTATTGTAATTAGGTTAAGTTAAGATAGTATGACTCAGAGACAGAGAGAGAGAGAGAAAGGAGGAAGAGAGAGCGGGGAGGAAGTGTGGCGATTACGTTCTTACTAAGTTTTAGGCATCTTTCTTCACTTTTCATGCAGCTATATTATCTTTGATGTTTCTTCCTTGTTTCTTGTCTTTTTTTCTGTCTTGATAAGTTTATATCTTTGTTTGTTCCACAAACAAAACAAGGTCTCAAAATATCTCAAACACGTGCACATACACACACACTTTTTTTTATCTCTCTCTCTATTACACACACACACACACACACAGGTGTCGGCCATCAAAAGTTAACTCGGGTAACACTGCTATCACAGAGACACTCCTCCCTCCTCCCCCCTCCCCTTCTCCCCTCTCCCCTCCTCCTCCCTCCTCACCCCTCCCCTTCTCCCCCAGTGAAAACCACATCCTCAGGAAACATAGTTTACGGATCTCCCTTCTTCTCTCCATCTTTACCTCTCTTCCATTGGTCTGCTTTCTCTCTCTTCGTTCTCTCTCTCTCTCTCTCTCTCATCCTCCTCTCTCTCTCGTCTCTCTCTCGTCTTCTCTCTATTCTCTCCCTTCCTCTCCTCTTCTCATCTCATCCTCTCTCTCTTTCTCTCTCTCCTACTGCATCTTTTCGTCTTTTCGCCACTCCAGTTCTTCAACATGTCACATTGCGACCCCATTTTTCAATCAGATCATTATCAGAAAGGTTGGTGTGCACGTGTATGCACAGTGTGTGGTGGTGTATGGTTGCGTGCGTGTGTGTGTGTGTGTATAGCTGTGTATGTGTGGTGTGTATGTGTGAGTGTTGGGGTGTATGTGTGTGTGTGTATGTGTGAGTGTGTGTGTATGTGTGTGTGTATGTGTGTGTGCGTGTATGTGTGTGTGTGTGTGTATGTGTGTGTGTGTGTGTATGGTGTGTGTGTGTGTGGTATGTGTGAGTGTGTGTATGTGTGTGTGTTTGTGTGTGTGTGTGTTTGTGTGTGTGTGGTGTTGTATGTGTGTGTGCGTAGGCACATTGTAGATGAGAACACAGTTGTTTACCAGAGAACATAGTTGTTTACCAGAGCTCTCTGGGTAAGTCTACTGACAGGAAGTCTCTACCCAGAGAGAAGGAGACACACACAAACACACTTCCACCCAGAGATACCCCAAACACACACACACACACACACTCACACACTCACACACACACACACTCACACACAACACACACACACACACACACACACACACCACTACTCTCTACCCAGAGAGACAGAGAGAGAGGGAGGAAGAGAGGACCAGGGAACCCTCTAAACCAACCAACGAACACACTACTCTCGCCCACACACACACACTTTCTGCCGTCTTTTCCTCACTCTCTCTATCTCTCCTTCCCTCCTTCCCTCATTCCCTCCTCCCTTCCTTACCTCCATCTACATCTCTGTCTTGACAAGTCTGCAACTCCTTTCCCCCTGTTTCAGTTCTAGAAGGCTCAGTGCAGGCAAAATTCAGTTTGTTCTGTATTTTATTTCATATTGTACAACAGTTGATGAATCTAACACTGTAAAAGTGTGAAAACATTTGATCAGTAATTCTGAACAAGTATAATAATAATAATAATAATAATAATAATAATAATAATAATAATAATAATACGATTAACCAAAACGTTCGGTTATTTCATCGGTTTTTAAAAACTAACTGACCGACGTCGGTTCAATTATTTGAATTCCGTTTTTGTTGGGGGGGGGGGGGGGGGGGGGGGGGGGGGGGGTTCTGTGAGCTCTCTTATGCAGAGCAACTTACAGAAGCAATTAGGGTTAAGCGCCTTGCTGAAGGACACGTCGACAGATTTTTCACGTAGTCAGCTCGGGGATTCGAACCAGCGATCTTTCGGCTACTGGCCCAAAGCTCTTCACCGCTAGGCTACCAACCGCTAGGCTACCAACCGCTAGGCTACCAACCGCTAGGCTCCCAACCTCTAGGCTACCAACCGCTAGGCTACCAACCGCTAGGCTACCAACCGCTAGGCTCTCAACCGCTAGGCTACCAACCGCTAGGCTACCAACCGCTAGGCTCCCAACCTCTAGGCTACCAACCTCTAGGCTAACCAACCGCTAGGCTACCAACCGCTAGGCTACCAACGCTAGGCTACCACCGCTAGGCTACCAACCGCTAGGCTCTCAACCGCTAGGCTAACCAACCGCTAGGCTACCAACCGCTAGGCTCCCAACCTCTAGGCTACCACCGCTAGGCTACCAACCGCTAGGCTAACCAAACCGCTAGGCTACCAACCGCTAGGCTACCAACCGCTAGGCTCTCAACCGCTAGGGCCCTACCCAACAACGCTAGGCTTACCAACCGGCTAGGCTCTCAACCGCTAGGCTACCAACCGCTAGGCTACCAACCGCTAGGCTACCAACCGCTAGGCTACCAACCGCTAGGCTACCAACCGCTAGGCTACCTGCCGAGCTCAATGTGCAGTTTCTCTAGAGATAAATCAGATGAAGCCTGAATTGTGCGATGTAGTACGGAGTTGTAGTTTCCAACAGGCCAATATCTTTAGGTTCTGATTCATCTATCACACTATGGTCCAGTTACCTTTAGGTTCTGATTCCTCTATCACACTATGGTCCAGTTATCTTTAGGTTCTGATTCATCTATCACACTATGGTCCAGTTATCTTTAGGTTCTGATTCCTCTATCACACTATGGTCCAGTTATCTTTAGGTTCTGATTCATCTATCACACTATGGTCCAGTTATCTTTAGGTTCTGATTCCTCTATCACCCTATGGTCCAGTTATCTTTAGGTTCTGATTCCTCTATCACCCTATGGTCCAGTTATCTTTAGGTTCTGATTCCTCTATCACCCTATGGTCCAGTTATCTTTAGGTTCTGATTCCTCTATCACCCTATGGTCCAGTTACCTTTAGGTTCTGATTCCTCTATCACCCTATGGTCCAGTTATCTTTAGGTTCTGATTCCTCTATCACCCTATGGTCCAGTTATCTTTAGGTTCTGATTCATCTATCACACTATGGTCCAGTTACCTTTAGGTTCTGATTCATCTATCACCCTATGGTCCAGTTATCTTTAGGTTCTGATTCATCTATCACACTATGGTCCAGTTACCTTTAGGTTCTGATTCCTCTATCACCCTATGGTCCAGTTATCTTTAGGTTCTGATTCCTCTATCACCCTATGGTCCAGTTATCTCTAGGTTCTGATTCCTCTATCACCCTATGGTCCAGTTATCTTTAGGTTCTGATTCCTCTATCACCCTATGGTCCAGTTATCTTTAGGTTCTGATTCCTCTATCACACTATGGTCCAGTTATCTTTAGGTTCTGATTCCTCTATCACCCTATGGTCCAGTTACCTTTAGGTTCTGATTCCTCTATCACACTATGGTCCAGTTATCTTTAGGTTCTGATTCCTCTATCACCCCTATGGTCCATTATCTTTAGGTTCTGATTCCTCTATCACCCTATGGTCCAGTTATCTTTAGGTTCTGATTCCTCTATCACCCTATGGTCCAGTTATCTTTAGGTTCTGATTCCTCTATCACCCTATGGTCCCAGTTATCTTTAGGTTCTGATTCCTCTATCACCCTATGGTCCAGTTATCTTTAGGTTCTGATTCCTCTATCACCCTATGGTCCAGTTATCTTTAGGTTCTGATTCCTCTATCACCCTATGGTCCAGTTATCTCTAGGTTCTGATTCCTCTATCACCCTATGGTCCAGTTATCTTTAGGTTCTGATTCCTCTATCACCCTATGGTCCAGTTATCTTTAGGTTCTGATTCCTCTATCACACCTATGGTCCAGTTATCTTTAGGTTCTGATTCCTCTATCACCTATGGTCCAGTTACCTTTAGGTTCTGATTCCTCTATCACCCTATGGTCCAGTTATCTTTAGGTTCTGATTCCTCTATCACCCTATGGTCCAGTTATCTTTAGTGTTCTGATTCCTCTATCACCCCTATGGTCCAGTTATCTTTAGGTTCTGATTCCTCTATCACCCTATGGTCCAGTTATCTTTAGGTTCTGATTCCTCTATCACCCTATGGTCCAGTTATCTTTAGGTTCTGATTCCTCTATCACCCTATGGTCCAGTTATCTTTAGGTTCTGATTCCTCTATCACCCTATGGTCCAGTTATCTTTAGGTTCTGATTCATCTATCACCCTATGGTCCAGTTATCTTTAGGTTCTGATTCCTCTATCACCCTATGGTCCAGTTATCTTTAGGTTCTGATTCCTCTATCACCCTATGGTCCAGTTATCTTTAGGTTCTGATTCCTCTATCACCCTATGGTCCAGTTTACTTTTAGGTTCTGATTCCTCTATCACCCTATGGTCCAGTTATCTTTAGGTTCTGATTCCTCTATCACCCTATGGTCCAGTTATCTTTAGGTTCTGATTCCTCTATCACCCTATGGTCCAGTTTATCTTTAGGTTCTGATTCCTCTATCACCCTATGGTCCAGTTATCTTTAGGTTCTGATTCCTCTATCACCCTATGGTCCAGTTATCTTTAGGTTCTGATTCCTCTATCACCCCCATGGTCCAGTTATCTTTAGGTTCTGATTCCTCTATCACCCTATGGTCCAGTTATCTTTAGGTTCTGATTCCTCTATCACCCTATGGTCCAGTTATCTTTAGGTTCTGATTCCTCTATCACCCTATGGTCCAGTTATCTTTAGGTTCTGATTCCTCTATCACCCTATGGTCCAGTTATCTTTAGGTTCTGATTCCTCTATCACCCTATGGTCCAGTTATCTTTAGGTTCTGATTCTTCTATCACACTATGGTCCAGTTATCTTTAGGTTCTGATTCATCTATCACACTATGGTCCAGTTACCTTTAGGTTCTGATTCCTCTATCACCCTATGGTCCAGTTATCTTTAGGTTCTGATTCCTCTATCACACTATGGTCCAGTTATCTTTAGGGACTCATTCTACAACCACCTAAAGGGAAGCGATTCCAAAACCTTCCATAACAAAGATATCACCTACAGCAGGGTTCTTCAATTCCGGTCCTGGAGGGCCGAAACACCTCTGTTTTTCATCCTCTCCTTCTAATCAGGGGCTAATTCAGACCTGGGACACCAGGTGAGTGCAATTAACTACCAGGTAGAAATAAAAAACAGAAGCGTTTCGGCCCTCCAGGACCGGAATTGAAGAACCCTGACCTACAGAGAGATTAACCTGGAGAAGAGTCCCTTAAGCAGGCTGGTCCTAGGGTTCTGATCACAAACACAAACAGACCCCACACAGGACAGCAACACAATTTGAACCAACCAAATCATTACATTTTAGTCATTTAGCAGACGCTCTTATCCAGAGCGACTTACAGTTAGTGAGTGCATACATTATTATTTTATTTATACCCCCCATGGGAATCGAACCCACAACCCTGGCGTTGCAAACGCCGCGCTCTACCAACTGAGCTACATCCCTGCCGGCCATTCCCTCCCCTACCCTGGACGACACTGGGCCAATTGTGCGCCGCCCCATGGGTCTCCCGGTCGCGGCCGGCTACGACAGAGCCTGGATTTGAACCAGGATCTCTAATGGCACAGCTAGCACTTAGCCTAGCCTTAGACCACTGCGCCACTCGGGAGGCTATGATCATGAGAAAACAAAAATATAATTACTTGACACATTGGAAAGAATGAACAAGAAAACTGAGGAAACTAGAATGCTATTTGGCCCTAAACAGAAAGTACACACTGGCAGAATACCTGACCACTGTGACTGACCCAACATTAAGGAAAGCTATGACTATGTACAGACTCAGTGAGCATAGCCTTGCTATTGAGAGAGGCTGCCGTAGGCAGACCTGTCTCTCAAGAGAAGACAGGCTATGTGCCCACTGCCCACAAAATGAGGTGGAAACTGAGTAGCACTTCCTAAACTCCTGCCAAATGTATGACCATCTTAGAGACACATATTTCCCTCAGATTACACAGACCCACAAAGAATTCGAAAACAAATCCAATTTGATAAACTCCCATATCTACTGGGTGAAATACCACAGTGTGCCATCACAGCAGCAAGAGTTGTGACCTGTTGCCACAAGAAAAGGACAACCAGTGAAGAACAAACACCATTGTAAATACAACCCATATTTATGTTTATTTAATTTCCCTTTTGTACTATTTTTTTAACACATCGTTACAACACTGTATATATACATAATATGACATATGAAATGTCTCTATTCAGTGTAATGTTTAAAGTTCATTTTATATTGTTAATTCCACTTGCTTTGGCAATGTAAACATATATTTCCCATGCCAATAAAGCCTTTGAATTTAATTTAATTTAAATGAGAGAGAGAGAGAGAGAGAGAGAGAGAGAGAGAGAGAGAGAGAGAGAGAGAGAGAGAGAGATAGAGAGAGAGAGTACTAAGACCTACTCTCTCATCTC